ATTTCCGCAACAAAGAAGTAACATAGAAGATGACTAAACATTGATTTTTGCTAGACAATCAATGTAGTTAGGTTGTTGACCATTACATTTGGATTTGTATTTAATTCCATAAAAACATTTATAAACCACCTGCTTTTTGCAGTGTATTGAAATAACTAATAGGTAGTCATTGTGTTTGTCAAACAATTATGAAAATCTAAAGAAAATTTTTTCTTAACTGCTAAGCATTTGTCCTACTGTAAAATTATTCAATAAATCTATGCTGGTTGCAGACATTTTTGATTGTAATGTGCTTAATAATGTTTTATGTGTGGCGGAAGATTAAATTTTTAAGAAGGGGAAGCATAATGCTTTCTCAAACTGTATGATAGATTAAATCTTTCTGTAAATCAGTGGTTCTCAACCTTTCTAAGACTGTGGACAACCATTCTTATACTTTTTATTATGCAGAGAATTAGCATCAATATATTTAAAAATTGATAAGCAATCCAACATTTACTATTCTCAAAAAACAATGAAGCAATAAAATAAACTTTATTGTATTGAATAAAACAATAAATGTGGAATTGTCTACAAATAAAGTAATATGTCATAGTACATTAAAATAAATTTGAAATAATTTTTTATTTTTTTATTTTTTTTCTGTAAACTGTCCCAAGTGTGGAACACTTGGTGACAGTTTGCAGACAACCACATTCCACACATAACATGAGTTGAGAGCCACTGCTCCAAATAAAGGGGGAAGAGGAAATGTTTCTGTAACTATAAAGGCAATTAGCCAATTAATTGTAATGCAAACAGGTAATTTATATATTATATCACATTGGCAATTCCATAAAATTAATAAAAGGTTGACTTATATTTGGGAAAATACAGTATGTATTTTCTAAAATAGAAATTCTGATGAACTACTAGTACTGAAATTTATAATTAAATAAATAAAAATTTTGATTTGTATTTCCAAAATAAAGTATTTGAAATATAAAAATTATTTTATCTTTCATACTGTATATTGAATAAGTTTATCAGACAGCTAAATAAAAAAGTTCCAAACTTTATTCTTTCAATAATCTT